AATATCAGGGGCTATAAAGAGACAAGAGATAATTCTTTTATGTTATACGGTGGAAACAATTTAAAATTAGCCCATTTTTCTTTGGGGGAAAAAGGTGACTGTCAAATATTTTCATTGCCCACGGAGCGGTAAAGTCCCTGAACACTGGTAGTTCGGTCCAAGATTTGAATCCAGCGGACGGGCTGGCTGCATGGGCAGTTTTCGTGTTTTTCCACATGTGTAGCGTGTTAATACGAGCAAGTTTACTTTAGAAAGTCCTCTACGAATACATCCCTCCCTTCCGTGTATTGCCTTAGGACGGAACACGTAAATAATAAATACATTCAGTACTGTGAAGACACAAATCTTATGAAGCCGTAACTATCATCAAATCCATGATTTTTATGGCAAATATTAAAAATGTTTTGAACATTTTGCCAGCTCTTTTATATTAAGTGAAGTGGTGGTGTGGTTTATTTAATTATGGCAAAGCACACTAGGCTATCTGCCTAAGGGGAGGGAGGCCTTCGTGAAGGACTTTCTAAGGGAAACTGGCTCGTATACACGTTACACATGGGGCAAACCACGAAAACACCCATGCATCCAGTCCGTTCGCGGGATTCGAACCTCTAACCGAACTACCAGTGTTCAGCGACTTTTACCGCTCGGTCGCTGTTGGGCTGTTAAGTGAAGTGATTTGCGAACATTTCATAATGCTTCTATGGGATACTTTGTCACTTGAAACCAGCTTTAAATTGCATTTTGCAAGATAATATTCAAGGAAATTTCAAACAATATGGCCACTTTACCAGACTAAAGGATCTTAATGTATATAGTGATATTCAGACAGCAAGAAACATTCATTATGTTATTTATTAATTATGTTCATTCAGGCAGCAAAAAACATTAATTACTCTTAATATATGTGACATTATATATTTATAATTAAAATCTCTTTGTATCAGAATACGCGAGAGCCACCTAATTAAAAAATAATAAATTATTTGCGCTTTGTAAAGTTAACTTTATGTCGCTTGCGCATTTGTGGATTTATTTGAATCCACAAATGAAAAAGAGGGTTGCAATACGACAAAATATTTAAATGAACATGTCTTAAGAATTTTCGATACACAGCATCGTGCGCTAGATAAAAATGCTTTTTTTTTTTTTTTTTTTTTTTTTTTTTTCGCATAATGTTGCCATTACTCGCTTTGAAGTAGTTAAGTTTCTAAATCAAAAGCTCATAAATGCTTTACAAAATATAGAATACATAATAAAACAAATCCAAAATCTGGCCTTCCAGATACCCATATTTGGGTGGAGACGTACGTTATTCAAAACTGGATCACTCTAGGTACCGTTGTTTTATAACAGTGCGAGAAACATGCATTTATGCAGATTCTTCATTGTTTAATTTCTTTAAATATAATACAGGACACTAATATTTGGTGGCAATACTTCAAAAAATGTTGTGCCGTTTATAGTGAATCAACGCAAAATGCCGAAACGAAAGTAATAGCCCTTCTGGGCAAAATGTCCCTTTAGGCTAAAAAGAAAATTTCCGCATTCAATCATAATATCAGAATATTACACTTCTAATTGTAGATCCGGGACTCGAATTCCGGCCAACGGACTGACTGTATGGGCGTTTTCGTAGTTTTCTCCATGTGCAACGTTTATACGAGTTAGTTTCCCTTAGAAAGTCCTCCACGAAGGCTTAACTTACCCTAGGCAGATAGCCCTCATGTGCTTTGCATTAACTAAATACACCTCAACTCTAACTTGTTTAGTTATTGAGAAATTTTCTTTCTTATAAGGAAAATATTTTAAAAACTTTACCAAATACGTATAAAGTTTAAATTAGTCCTTAGAATATCTTGCAAAGAATGGGCCAATTTTTCAAGTATTTGGTTTCAAAACATGGAAGTTAAATCAAAACTACTGAAAGTGCAGCATAGAAAACCATTCTTGCAACAGTTAAAAATCTTCTATATAAAATTTTGAATAAAACCATTTGTAGAAAATTTATTTTAATTCTTACATGAATCTTATACCGATATAAAAATGCTATAATTGAAGAAATTATAGATTAATATATTATATTTGATTTGAGAAGCTCGATTATGACTAAAATTTGCAAGTACTTGCTTATATAGCTGATGAATATTGCTAATTAAATAACTAAACGTATAATATACATTTTCAATAGCAAAAGTATTTGAATTTATATAGCTATTTAAAATTACGGGTAAGATACTTGAAACATAACATGAATTCCGAAATGAAATTTCCTTAACTCATCAACAACTTAAATTTTTCTTTAAATAAAAATATCTACCTGAATAAGGAGATCAGTTTTGGCCTCTGATCTTTTGTATCCGGTCTTTAGATATCTTCAATTCCAATAACTTGAACTTCTAGTTCTTCTTTCATGGTAAAAAATCTTCTACTTAATTTATTCTCCTTTTTTATTACAACTTTTCTGTGATTTGAAATAACATAAAAGAAAACAGAGTGCACTGAGAATCACAACCGAATTTATTCAAGACTCTAAATCTAACACAGGCGATTTAAACATGACGACAAATCTTGCAATAAAATAAGCTATTAATTATCTCAATAGAAAGCTCCGAAGAACCCATCGGTTGCACATATGGAACGTTTCCTCACCTGTGGGTTTTGTTCCCTTCTAGAAACACTTATCTTGCAGTAGGTGTCGCTTTCTCGTCTGTCTCTACAGCCTCCAGGCAAAACTGTAATTATACCCTAATTAATCTAAATCTAAAACTCGTAAATGACAGTGAGACAAAACTTATTAAAACATAACGCAACAAATAAATTTTGCTAGTTACTTAATGATTTAAAACAGAGGATATTTATGCATTTTTAGAAATTTTCGATAAAGAATGAAAAAAAAAAAAAAAAAAGCGAATGTTTTGCAATAGAAATTTCTGGCAACAGCTTGTTATTTGAAATGAGAAATATCGTCTGCTACTTTTAAAGTTATTTTTCTTTCAAAATATCGCAAGTAAACAAGCTGTGGAATGAAGAATATAATTTTGTGCTTTCCGAAGAGAAGTATTCTATTCCATATTTCAAAAACGTGTGAAATGCACGGTATTAAAAAAATTTTATGTGTAAAATAAGGAACATCCTTGATCAGAAAGATAAAAATTGTCAATCATTACTTCTACATGGAAAGAAGACTCCAAACCAAGAAATATGTGGCTCATCCAGAGCAGTTTGTTCACATAAAAAAAGCAGGAAAATAAATTACACTATAAATAAGTTCCACAATTTTTATAAACCTATATAACACCTTTGAAAAATCAGGAACAAGATTTACAAAAGAAAGAACATGCATTTTATGCAAGTAACTGGTTATTTTATATGGCAACAGAACTTTTGATATTATCTGGGTTGTTGAAGTTGTAGTTGCAGATTCTAATTGCAGGACTATTAATCTCTCTCTGGTGTTTATGAAAACCTTTTGCGCCATGATGATGATATTCAGCTCTGCTGCTAGTATTCTGTTGTTGCGAATATGCCAGGGAAAGTCTGTAATTTGCCAAAGAACACAGTTCTGGACAATTTGAAGCTGCTTACGATTTGTTTTACAGGAAGAAACCTAGACTGGACAAGCATAGGATGCAGAATGGATTTATGTGCATGGAATGTCATTCCCATAAATGTTAAAACACGTGCCTCCAATAGAGAACCTTGGGGTATACCGGCTGATATAGCTCAGCAGGTTGAATATGTGTCAGAAATGGGAACTACAATTTGTCTACCTGAGGATTTAATTATGGTTGCGATGTAACCTGAGACGCCCAGGCTGTGCATTTTGTATATGAGTGCGTCCAACCAAGCGCGATCAAAACTCTTGGCTACATCGAGGAAAAGGTGTTTACCAGAGCCCGAGTGGTAAAGTTGCTGAATACTAGTAGTTCGATCCTGCGAACGGGCTGTCTGCATGGGCGTTTTCTTAATTTTTCCCATGTGTAATGTGAATACGAGCCACTTCCCTTAGAAAAACCTCCACAAAAGCATCTCTTTAGGCAGATAGCCCTCGAGTGCTTTGCCATAATTAAATACTCCAAACTACACATCAAGGAAAATAACACCTGTGACTTATTAACTTTGAAGGCCTTCAAAAATCAATCTCTATTTAACTAGTTTGACTTTGATAATTGTGTGCGATCATTCAAACTTATATGGAATGATGATGTTGTTGGCATCAAGTTGCTTGTGAATTCTTTGCTAATGTAAGGTAGCAAGTTAATGGGTTTGTACAATTCCGAGGTAGATGCTGGCATGTTAGGTTTGAGAATTGGTATTATGATAGCTATTCATCATGGAAATGCAGTCATCGAAGGATCAGGTTGAAGATGTTTGTAAGTTTAAAAATCATCACGATGGGGAAGAGCTTGATCATTTTGTTCGAGATATGATCTGTTCCAGGAATCTTCTTCACCTTAAACTTTTGAATGTAATCCAGAATTTCTGCTGAAATTATGTTGTTTGTGTGTCGATTTTTTGTGTAATTGAAATTAAAAACAGAAACTAAGTGTTCAATTGTTGTATCATGTATCAGTTGTTGGTCATGTTGTTGCAAAACTGAGATTCCACATCCTGAACTAAAAGTTCTGCTTTCTCAGTTTCAGTACAGGCATCCTTTGAGGGCATTTAAGGGGCAGAATTTTATTTATTCCATCTGTTCTATCTAGCTCATTTCTACGGTATTTTTATTTTAGTCACTTTTAGCTATTAGAGGGCCACATTTCGCTGCAGTCGCGAATGCAGGAAACTTAAGTTACAACATGAAAGCTGTAACGAAGAAAAAAGTGAGGGACAAGAAATTTTAAAATGCTAAGTTTCGAGAATAAATTCACAAGCAGAAGAAAAAGGGAAAATTAATCAATGATGCAAGAGGGAAAAAAAAGGGAAAACCTGAAAACCAATGATAAAAATCTATCCCTTTATCCCTGTCTTGCCTTATCTTAGTTCTGTGCAGTCACATGTTTTGAAGTTTGTTTACGTTTTAATAGTCGCTTGCTGCAATGTTATGTCATTGATTTGGGACAGAGAAAAATGCACTTTGGAAAGATAGCTAGGCTAATCGATGAATGTAATCAGCATTTCGAAATGGTGTATTGTATAAAATCATTTTTTATTAGCATATCAATTATGAATCTGTAATAATAAATTCGTTTTTTTATCATGTGTTAGAAAAAGTAATTTTAGCATTTTATTTAAAGTAACTTTAGCATTTAAGCCTTACAAGAACTTCACAACTTTCACTGCTTGAGTTTACTTTCTTTTTGCTACTTGGAGGATCAAACGTTAAGGAAGAACGAGGAAGCAACGTTAAGAATTAGGTAACTTTCCTTTTAGGAAAAATTACTGTTGATTGGTGTCAAGTTTTCGACGGTTAAGATTTCCTTGTAAAACTTCCTTCCTGCCGTGATATATCTCTCGTTTCATTCAGAAGTAGTAATAAGTAAATTTTGTTTTACATTTATTCTTTATGCATCTTTAAATTATAATTTTAAATATTCCTTTATAACCAGTATTTTACCATTTCAGTGTTATGATTTTTGTTTATTTATTTATATTACAGTTTGTCCCTTTAACAATTTATTTACCTTTTGCCAATTTTTATAACTCTGTGAATATTTATAAATAGCAAAATAGGGTTTGTGTTTGAGTTTTTTTTTCCTTTACCTATCTATCGAATAAAACTTAGAATAACTTTAAATGTATGAATTATTTTTAATTTATATATGTTATCTTACTTTTTAATATTTTGATGCATTATGTAATATTGAAAACAATATCTCATTCTGAAGTTTAAAATGTCTGTAATACTGCTTGTTAATGAATTTTAAATTATATTTTTTCCTTCAAAATTATACGTCTCTAAAATGCAATAATTGTAAATCATAAATCTTAAGCATAAAATATTTTAAGGAAAATCTTGGTTTATTATATTTTAAATAGTGAATAAAAGTTCTTCTCATTTAAAATGAAATTTACCAATGTTGAAAAAAAGTAAGTAAGTTTGGAATTTAAGAAACAACTGAGAAGGATTTTTTTCTGATTATTCTTTGTTGTATAACAGAAAAGGAAAATTTGAACGAGTATATGTATTTAATTGTATTCAGGAGCATTGGCTGAACTTTAAGGAATATGAGTACTGTTCTGTTATGGAGACTGGATTCAGAAATGTGTGAATTTATGCATGTGTGTGTATGTACACATACATTCATACTTACATATATACATGTAAACATGAGCTAATGTATCCATCCATCCATACATACATACATACATTTCTGAATCCAATCCCTGACAACAGAACAGTACTGAAATATGTTTCAATCTTATATTTATATCATATAACCATTTTTTAGGATTAATTATTACTGAAGGATATTAAGAACAAAATAAAATTTTTTTATTTGATCAAGTATGTAAAAATATATTAGTTTGATTGAAATGTTGTTTTATATTTGCAGCCTTTTAATGCTAAATTTTCAGTTATCTCGTATTTATATCTGTTTTATATTCTTTCAGATCAGACACAATGGATTACTCTAAAATTTCATTAGAAGATTTTCCTCCTGGACCTCTGGATTCATATCGCAAGAAAGCCAGTTTCAATTGGAAAGAACTAAAATTTATATTGGAAGGAGAAGATGTGGCCAAATATCAAGTACCTTTTTGAGATTCTTAATTATTGCTTTGCTCAGTGTTTCAATATTTTGTTTTAAATAATTAATCAATAATAGGATTTAATTTAAAATAGTAAAAATTTTCTGTTCCGTTTTGATGCAGTTCTTATTTTATACATTGAAAAGTTAAGTATTTATATGTCTTTTGCTATTTATAATTAAGCCCTAAAATATAATAAATATGAATGTTGATAATTATGTGTTAATGATATATCATCATTATTTTCTATTATTAAACGAAAAATATTTTGTAACAATTACTCATTTAAATTTCATTGAGAACAGTTAATGGAGTATATAACACCAATTTATACTTCTAACATTTCTTTGAGGGCAAACAGCTTTCATGTAATATATGTCTCACTGTAAACGGCAGGCTTTTATTTCTTATCAAGAAATTTAGGTACTTAAAATGCATGTTATTATGCAGCTTGTGTAACAATCTAAGTCTAATATTTTTTTTACCTTGAAATGCCTTTTGATTAAGATTCACAATTAAACCTTCTTTTGCATTCTCAAATGAAACCACACTGCTGTTCACATCTTCATAGCGTATATAAATTATTCTACATTAAATCAATACATTACTTTTGCTTCAGGCAGTAATACATATTTTGATAGCATATATAAATTATTCAACATTAAATCAATACATTGTTTGCTTCAGACAGTAATACAGATTGCGCATTCTATTCTATAATTCATTATATAATTCATTTATGATTGAATTCTATAATGCCTACTCTATAATGCATGATAATAAAATAAATATAATCAATGTCTAAGTATTTTACCCATATGCTTACTGGTAATGCATTTATAATAGCTTTGTAACTTATTAAAAAAAAATTCAGTAATTTAATTAGTGATTTTTACTATAATTTAAGCTTTTGATATGATTAAAATGTGAATATCTGTGAAAAAGACATTACAGTTAATTTTATTATTAGCAACATTACTTTAGAAAGGTATTGAAATACTGCACCAGATAGTTTGTCTAGTAGCCATTGTTTAACACTGAAAATCAATAAAGTGATATTTTGTGACTTTGATTGGCATCAGCATTTGATGGCATTTTTCAATTTAGTCAGCATTTGATGATATTTAGTCAGCCTGTCTGAACTGGTGTTGTTAATGAGAAAAGTACTGAGAGTACTTTTATTTTTCCTATCAGTTTCTTTATTTTAGGCCTGGTGGCACAGTTGCTAGTGCATCGAGCAGCAGCATTACAGGTCTGGGGGTTCAATCCCCAGGATGCGCAAAGTCAACTCAGCCTTTCATCTGTCGATTTCCATCCCTTGGGTTTATAAAAATGAGTACCAAGTTCTCTTGGGGACTAAGCATTAGGGGGCCTGCGACAAGTTGACCACTTTTTCAGGGTATATATGCTCATGCACCCCAGGGTCCATGGTCAAGAAAGCAGATCTTGGGGCACTGCAGGCTTTGGTCCACTAGGGCTGTGGGGCCACTGAGTAGTAGTTTAAATTTTTATTTATCTGATATACAAGATCATGGGAAAAGATGGACCTAATTTTAAGTCACTGTATTGTGCTTTGGGGTAAATCAAGCTTCTTGAACAGTATTCAAATTTTGATGTTACTTGCAGGCAAGGTAACCTTAACATGCCGATAAATTATGCTGAATAATAATGACATAAGTGGAGGTCCTGATCTTTAATTACCTGTGGGTCCTTTTAATACTGGTGGACATGTGATTGTATTGTCACAAATGTAACACATATACAATCACATAAAAAAATTTTCCATTTTATGTATGCAAAAAAAATTACAGAATTTTAAACAATATAATGTAAAAAGGGGTGTTTTTTCTCGAAAAATTCAAGACCTAACTACCTTTGAGAGAGGCTTTTCGCAACCATTGCTGAAATTGCACCAGCATTGAAACAGAATATTGCTTTGATAGCTGCAGAGAAACTACTGAAAAGCTCATACAGAAACTTATTAATTAAATGAATAAAAAAGGTTAACTTTATTGTTAATTGTCTTAAATACGGTTTCTCTTAAAAAAACTTTAAAATCAGATCTGTCTTTTTTGATGATTCCATATAAAAATTTTTTTAAAAAAAGGCTGAGATTTTTAATTATTAAAATTGTACTAATTGTTAGTAAGATCTATTAAGATTAGCATTTATTTAAATCTAAATATTGAAATTTTCAATTGTTACAATTATAATAGTTAAGATTTTTATTTTTTATTTTTAATATAGCAATAACATTTCATGTGATATTTAAATTTTGGGCTAATATTACATCCATCAAATTTCCAGAGCATTTCATTATATGTATTATGTCTATAAATTCTCAACATAAGGCTGTATTCAGCATTTTGCATTTCACTGGCTTTATAATGACAACATATATATTTACTGATATTTCTTTAGTGATATAAACATTATACATCAAAATTTCACTATCTCCATTTTGGCTGCTTTTACAGTTTTAATCACAACCATGCTAATTGCAGTATTACCCATAAAAATATGAGCAAGTTCGTTAATAATTTTTTATCTCTAAAAAATAATGAAAATTCTCTTCTTTTCTCTAAAAAATACTGGGTCATCCAGAAAATTCTGCAGGTTTTTTTAGGGGGGATAAATATGAATGAATCAGCACAAAAACATAAGAAAATTTGATTGCATAACATAAATATAATTTTTATCGCATTTTGCTCTCTGGCAGCTAGAAAATTCCTTCTTATAAAAAGTCATAAGTTTGTTCATTAAAGATAATACCGAGGTGCTGCTTGACAGTGTTTAAAGAAATGGAACTCCAGGCTGTGTAGAGAATTTTGGAGTGACCTGAAGAAATGAAAATTTGGAAGGGAATAAGGTAATACATACTCCATAAGTCTTTATCTAATGTTCATAAAAATGTGGATATGAGCATTGTGTTGATGGAAGACAACATCTTAATGAGTGGTAAATTCTGAATACTTTGCTTCGATTTTTGCTTTTAAAATTGCCATTGGGGAACAGTACTTTTTTAAAACATTATTGTCTGATTTGGTGGCAACAACTCATAGTATATTGTTTCTTTACATCTACACAAAGTATCACTTTTTGGGATGAACATTCCTCTCGTGTTATTAAAGGAGGTTCTGTATGTAGGCTGAGGTAAGCCTATGTGGAGTGAGCCGTGATAGAATCATGTAACATAGTAATGTTTCATGCAATAATGTTACATGAAACATGATAGTTTCATGTAGCATTATTGCATAGCATCCGCATCTCATCATCAGTAATGAGTCATTTCAAAAAAGAAACTTCTTTATTTCATTCAGCAAAGAGTCACATGCTGAAAGTTGAGAACCATATTCTACTTTATAAAGTATAAAGTATCCATCTGTCATAGTAGTCTTATTGTTGTATTGTGCATTAGTACATAAGGCATACTGAATGCATTTCCTCTATTTAGTGCAGTTTTAATCAAAGAATCATAAGTTAAAATAACTGTGAAATCTTTATTTAACAAGTATGAGAATTCTGCTCAACTTAAGTAGAACACCAATTTAAGTAACAGTCTTCACAGACATTAAAAATTAAAGTATTGAAAAGAATAACTTACATAGAATCATCATCAGTTCTAATATCATCAGACTTACCTATTTAGGCAATAAAAAAAAGAAACAGGAACATACTTTGAAAGAGAAAGCACTAACTGAACTAGACCTTTGGCCCAGGTACACCAGGTACACTGCGAAAAAAAGAAAAGGACAGTTCTATATCTCCCGTTTTACTGGGCCGATTGATAAAATTCAAATTGTGTTTTTCATGTCTCAAAAGTGCGACTTAGGATATGTATTAGATTTATATATAGCATTGTTCTAACATAGGTATTTTGACAAAAAATAGAATTTTTTCTGAAGTAACATACTGATTTTTCCCATATTTTGATTCTACGATTCAAATTATGCTCAGATATTAAATTTTGTAAAATTTGGTGCGAATTTTTCAAAGAAAATTTAAAATTTATCTTGGCACAATTTTTTCAGTTTGCTCCAAGAATAATTCACTTGGTGAACTTCTTAATATGCAGCAACCAATTTTCCTCTTTTTTCTATTGTGCTGGAGCGGAAGAGGCATCTCATTCCTACCTTTTTACATTGTGCATGACGGAAAAAAAGTCACTGCATTTCTACTTCCAAATAATTTTAGCAAAGAGTCTAAACCACATTTGATGTTTTATTGCTTTCAACAAATTTCAAAACGCACCAATATATAAATTCACGTATATCTTTGGAAATTTTGAATTAAAAAAACTGTAATGTTTTGCAGGTAGAATTACGTCTACTTTAAGATGATGGTAAAAATTTTATAGATTATAATTCAAAAATTGTATTGAAAGATTTATAAAAATTATTTTAAAAATAAATCATAAAGAACCGTTGCAGAAACGGTATTTATTGCTTTCAACAAACATGCCAAATTTCAAAATGCACCAATATATAAATTAATGTATATCTTTGGAAATTTTGAATAAAAAAAACTGTAATTTTTTGCAGGTAGAATTACGTCTACTTTAAGATGATGGTAAAAATTTTAAAGATTATAATTCAAAAATTGTATTGAAAGATTTGTAAAAATTATTTTTAAAATAAATCATAAAAAATGGGTGAAATTTATTTGGAATGAACCTAAGTTTCGAAATGTGAAAAGAAGAATTAAATAAGTTTAATAAAAAAGAGAGATTAATAAATATATACCAAACTCAATTAACATTGAGGAGCTAAAATTTTGAGAGCTAATTTTTTAAAAAACTACTTTGAAAAAAAAATTTTTTTTTTACAAAACTTGTAAACTTGTGCGATTTTTACAAAACTTGGTAGTTTGGCGTAATCTGAATCATAGAAACGAAATATGGAAAAAAAATTGTTTGTTATTTCAGAAAAGTACGATTTTGTGTCAAAATACCTATATTAGAACAATGCTATATATAAATCTAATACGTATCCTAAGTCATGC